CCACCCTAAAATATTCATAGAAATGTAAATGCATGCTTTTTTGTCATGTTCAAAATGGAGGGCCTTTTGGAATCCCTCTTGGAGAGGGGTTTGAAATGGAGGACAGGTCCTGGAAAAGGAGGACCGCTGGTCACCCTGAGCCCTTTTCAGTCAGTTACAGAGGAGAGAAAGTGGGGGTGCCATCAGCCATCATCACCATTTTATTTATTTATTTATTTATTTATTTATTTATACATTAAAAAGTGTAAATGATGTGTGCCTTCAGGTAGTTTCTGACTTATGGTGACTCTAAACTGAACCTATCACAGGGGTTTCTTGGCAAGACTTGTTCAGAGGGGGTTTGCCATTGCCATCCTCTGAGGCTGAGAGTGTGTGACTTGACCAAGGGTCACCCAGTGGGTTTCCATGGCCGAGCCAAGATTCAAAACCTGGTCTCCAAAGCGTTAGTCTAATGCTCAAACCACTGCACCGCGCTGGTGCTCTAAAAACTGTAAATATAAAGTTTTTAAAAAGCAGTTAAACAATTTTAAAAGTGAGAAATATTACACATTAAAAACTTTATACAAACCTTGACATCTGAACTGCACAATATTTAACAGCCCAGCCCTGACAGCACAAAAATGTTTTTACCTACCATGGAAAAGACAGCAAGGAGGGAGCCATCCTGATCTCTTTAGGGATGGAGTTTTAGAGCCTGGGTCCTCTTCCATATTGCCACTATGTGAGTCTGTCCTGGCTGCTGAGGTCAGCCTTAGTATTAGAGGACAAGGCCTACCGCACGTTTCACCATCTTCAAATGCTCTCCAGAACCTGATTTATACTTTGAAAGAATGGAAGTCATTGAGGGGAGTGGAAATTTGACTTTTAATATGTACAAATTTATTATTTATTTCATTTTTATGCTACCTTTCTCCCAAAAAGGGACCCAAGGAAGCTCACAAGATAAAAACACATTATTATTATTTTTTAAAAAAAACACAATTAAAATAAGCTAGTTAAAACAGCATAAAATTAAGACTGGCAACATACAAAAGTGACTTTGCAAAGTGACTTTACGTGTGTGTGTGTGTGTGTGTGTGTATGCCTTCAAGTTGTCTGGCGATCCCATGAATTTCATAGGGTTTTCTTAGGCAAGGAAGACTCAAAGGTGGTTTTGCCAGTTCCTGCCTCTGAAATATATGAACACCCCATAAACACGAATGAAAGCCACCACCCCTCTCCCTGGTGCCAGTTCCTTCAATGAATGATGTGGGATTAGGAAGAAGAGTTTCTGGGCAGGAAGAAACCCACCCCACCTTGCTTTTACTTTTTCTTTTTCTCTTGCTTTTCTATCTGGGCTGATTTTTCTAATTGCTGAGTGGAAAAGTGACCGGCTGAAGGGCCTCTTTACTCTGAGAAGAGTGAAGGGTGTTTCACAGGAGGAGAAAACCCAGGTCATCAAATTAACAGCTTAAAAGATGACATAACTAGCTCCATTCGCACTCATTTCTCCTTGGTCCTGTGCAGCCAAGGTTGGAGATAGTGGTAAACTGTCATGGTTGTTTTGAATGGCACTATTTTGAATGCTCGGTGGTAGTGGTGTCCTTTCTACCAGGCTTATAATATCTCTAAAAGAGGAATGCAAAATCCTCCAGAAGTTGATGAACTTCTACTCCCATAATCTCTCACCACTGGCCAGACTGGTGGGTCCTGGTCTAGTAACATCCGGAATAACATGTGTTCCTCAATTCTGCTGTAAAGGGCACAAGACAGGTTAATGAATGCTTAGCACTTTCTCTTCCCAACCCTATGGGTGGGTAGGGGAGCACAAGGCAAGTTTCCCTCAGTAATTTTCCACTGAATTACTAGTTAAGGGGGTAGCGGTTCAAATCAGTGGATCGTGGCAGGGTAGATGACCTCTGGAGATCCCACTTCTGTTCATCAGGAGCAGGAATGGGTGTGATGAGATGATACCTACCTCCCTACCTATCGAGAGAAACAGGCACTTCCCATATGAGGCCATCCTACAGGATTGAGAGAGACTGTTCTTGAGCACCTCTCTCCTTGCCAGCTGTGCCCCATGCTGGGAGATCTCCTCTCCCCAACAAGGACCTATGCTTGGGTGCAGCTTTGGTGAACTGTGGGGCAGGGAGGAACCAACAGTATTTGCAGGGTCTGAGGTAGGGGAACTCTTGTGTTGTGGGTACCTGAGATGGGCTTTATTATTCCCATTCATGATTTAAATCAGGAGTAGAACCTTGGGGCCCTCTGGATATTTTTGGACTCCATCTCCCATCAGCCTCACACGTTAGGAATGATAAGAGTTTGAATCCAGCAACATCAGAAGAGGTACTGGTTCTTCACTCCTGATCTGGGTTCTCATACCAGATATTCATGTGCTAAAATTACATAGCAGGTTCAAAGCTCCCTGCTTTTAAAAGCTTCCCACCACAAGGCAGTCATAGCTACCATTTAGTATGGTGGAGAGAAAGACAATGGAGAGCCAGGGTGGCATAGTGGTTTGGGTTTTGGACTAGGACAGTGCGAGACCAGGGTTCAAATCACTGCTTGGCCATGGAAACCCACTAGGTGACCTTGAACAAGTCACACTCTCTCTGTCTCAGAGGAAGGCAATGGCAAACCCCATCTGAAAAACTCTTGCTAAGAAAATGCCATGATAGGTTTGTCTAAGGGTCACCATAAGACCCAATGACTCCAGACCTCTTCTCTCAGTCACAGCTATGAATCAGAGGACAAAAGGAAGGAACCCTTGCCACTAGGAAACAGGATGACTTCAGGGGGTTGAAGCTGTGTGTTTACCATAGAATGCATCATGCTCTGCCACCAAATCCATGTTGCCCATATTAATAAAACAGCCAGTTTATTCCCACCCATCTCTGTTTTCACAGTATGGAGCTTGGTGCCTTTCACAGATGTCCATCAAGCAAAACCTCAACTGGTTCACCTATTTCTCACCACTCCATTTAGAGAAAGGTTTACTTGTTGAAAATATCTGAATTCAAGCCCGCTCAGGCTCACTCGAATATATAAATACATTGTTGTTGTTGTTGTTGTTGTTGTTATATCGTTGTTGTCATCATCAGTACATAAGCCCTGTACCATCACCATCAGCACAACATATCTGAGGTATATCCAGAGCCCAAAGGGAAAGAGACTTTGGATTTGCTCAGCCAGCAGATAAGACACTTTTAGAAAACACTGGATGGCACAAAGAAAGAAATATTTGCAGATGTGCAGAACGAGGGTCTGTCTTCTGTTTCTAGAAAGGGTGTGGGAGTCTTGTTGTTGTGTGCCTTCAAGTCATTTCCAGCTTATGGTGACCCTAAGGCAAATCTATCAAAAGGTTTTCTGGGGCTGTGTGTGTGTGTCACCCAGTGAGCTTCCATGTCCAAGTTGGGGGAATCAAGCCCTGGTTTCCAGAGTTATAGTCCAACACTCAAACCACCACACCACACTGACTCTGGAAGTCTTAGTTCAGTGCTTTTTAAGATATCTGATGTGACAGATTGGCAGGGATTTCTCCTCAATGTGTTGGGGAGCAGCATTATCTTTGGGTCCATAGCTACAACTATTTCTTGCCATGGAACTGCAGTCAATGGTTCACAAACCAGCAGCAGTCCATGGGTCACAACTTTGAGTACTACTGCCCTAGCTGATTGACAGAAAAGATTGCTTATTATTTTGACAGCATCTGTCAGTGTTTGCTGCGTTCATCAGTTCTGAGTCATCATCACAACTCTGTAAAGTAGGATAGGGACTTGAGAAAAGACCTCTAGTACATTTAATCTAGTTTGGCTGATCCAGGATGTCCAGACGTCCTCTTTTTCCAGGGCATTTCAACCTTCTGTCCAGGAGGAATTTCAAAACATCCTCCATTTTGAGCATGACTTTTATTTTGTAATGTCCTACATTTTGTGGTGCCTTGTGTTCCTTTGTGGTTATGATAGCTGGTCACCCTGGGCTGATCAGAGATTTGAACATGGTAGTGAACAAACTCAACACACAGTCTGCTGTTCCTCTGCCTTCTCAACATATTCCAGGCACTGTAGTGAGAGGGTCAAAGTGTTAGGACTTAGAGGAGTGTGTGTATGTGTGTATGTGACTTCAAGTTGCCTGTTGACTTATGGTGACCTCGTGAATCCTTAGTCGTGGTTTTGTCAGTTCAAATAAATCCCCGCTCAGTCATGAAGTTCATTGGTGGGCCTTGGGCCAGTCATTATCTTTCATCCTGGCCTCCTCCACAAGGAGGCTGTGAGAATAAAAACAGAGAACCACACATGCCTTCTTTATATCCTTTTAGAAAGGTGCAATATAAATGCATAAGGCAGAGAAACAAACAAAATTCCCAGTGGAACAGCAAGGCCTCATTAACTCAGTTGAACTTCCAAGGTCTAGATTTCTGGTTCTGCATCTCTGGCTTAATCCAGGTCTGTTTGTCTCTGCAAAAAATGATCCAAAATGGCCATTCATGCCCTCTAGTGGCTCCTGAGGATATGACTGGGCAATTTTTGGATAAATTCTTTTTAGATTGGGTGTGTGTGTGTGCGCGCACAAAACTGACTGCATGTGGTCCATCAGCCACATTCTGCATACCCCTTGACTTGAAAGAACAAACTTCCTATGATTGCTTCCCTCCCTTGAATCTTCCAAGATTCACTTTCTTCTGGAGGCAGAAGCTCTTCTGCACAGATGAGGCTGAGTGCCATCCACTCCAGACCTTGCCTTAGTAGCAGCCCACATGCTATTATTTCTCGCTGTGTCTGCACATCACTGGAACTGTTGATCAATTAAGACTGAGCTCTGCCTGGCTTTCCGTTCAGTTCATCTCGACACCCATGAATACTTCAGCAGAGCTAAGGATCTCCTGAGTGAAATTTATACACATGTCCAGTCTGAATGATGTAATGGCAACTGAGGTCCAAAACACACTGCAGAAATAATCCAGTTTGAGACCTCTTTAACTGCCCTGGCTCAATGCTAGTGAATCCTGGGAACTGTCATTTATTGTGGTGCCAGAGCTCTCTGACAGAGAAGGCGAAATGTCTCACAAAGCTACAGTTCTCAGAATTCCCTAGCATTCAGCCAGGGCAATTAAAGCAGTCTCAAACTAGTTCAGGGGTAGGCAACCTTTTTGAGCCGGGGGCTGGGTTGTTCTCCCTCAGACAATTGGGGGGCCGAAGCATCCAAAACAAATAAACAAATAAATAAATAAATAAATAAATAAATAAATATTTTTAAAAAAATTAAAAAATATGCATGCACACACTCTCAGCCCCAGAAAAGCCATGGCAAAAACCCTGTGGAGATTTTGCCAAGAAAACCCCAAGAACAAGTAATAACAACAATAATAAATATCATCATGGCGGGCGGTGGCGGTGGCGGGGGGCAGCAGCAGGACTGGCCTGGGGCCAGTCCAAAGGCCTCAGGGGGCCACATCCGGCCCCCGGGCCTTAGGTTGCCTACTCCTGAACTAGATTATTTCTGCAGTGTTGTTTTGGACCTGAGATACGGCAGCAAGTAATGTCCTTCTCACATAGATCTTTAAAGCTCTCGCACTACCTAACTTGCATATTTTGTCCATGGCCAACCACCACCCTTCCATGCAGAGCCTGCCCTTTCTGGATGCTAAAGATTGTTGCTCACCCAAGGAAGCTATGACACACTTCACCTTTTTCAAAGTATATTTCAAAACAGATTTTTAATCCATTTATCCATACCTGCTTAGAAACCAGTGAATCCCTTTCCAATTAAACCTGTTTTGCAACTTGATAAGAAGGTATGAAGAATGGCTCTTTTAAATCTGTCCCAATTTTATAGTCAACATAGGGAGCAGGGTACCAGACTGGGCAAAACTGGCTTCTTCACCCCTTTTTTTCCCTTCACCCCTGAGATCTTGCAAAAGGTTTTGCCCTGCAAAAGGGGCTCATGCCCAATCCTAATTCCCACATCTTTATCATTTCTTTAATGATTCAGTATAAACATGCCAAGCTCTGAAGATTTTATCCTCCTATTTTTCTCCCCATCACTTTTCACACATACATTGTTTGCTAGATTTTAAGTCAGCATGCAGGGACTCTTGTTTTTAAGTCACTGTACAGCTTCTAAAGTGAGGCTAAATAACATAAAGTCACCAGATTCTGTTTTGGAAGCTAAGCAGGTCAGCCTTGATTAGTAATTGGATGGGAGACTTTCAATGAATACCAGGAGCCGCAAGCTATATTTTGAAGGAAGGAACTGGCAAAATAATCTCTGAAGTTTGGTCTACACTAGTCAGAATACCCCAGAGCAAACAGGGAATTTATAAAATACGTTTTAAGAGGGGTATGAGCTAGTGTGGCACAGTGGTTTGAGCGTTGGATTACAACTCTGGGGACCATGATTCAAATCCCACTTGGCCAAGAAGCCTACTAGGTGACCTTGGGCAAGCCACATGCTTTCAGCCTCAGGGGAAAGCAATGGCAAATCTCCTCTGAACAAATCTTGCCAAGGAAACCCCACACGTCGTCCAGACTTTTTGTGCCAGAATTGGGGCTTGGGCCCTGCATCATCCGGACTCCACATCAAGAGGATGAGGGGAGGTCATTTTATTTGGCCAAGCATACAGGGCCCAAGTTTTCCTTGCCTGAGAAAATCTTGTGAAATTGATGGGGTAGCTCAACAGGTGACTTGAAGGCACATATACATACAAGCAGCACCTAAAAAAAATTAGGTGTTTTATCAATAACAACTATTTGTCAGGGAAGGCCTCACAAGAGAAGCATCTCCTGCTCAATGACATGCTAATTCCTTAAGAACTAGACATCAAGATTATATTGATGTAAAGCACATACAGCTTTACATTTGGAGTAATGCAATATAAGTATAAGAAAATCCTGTCTGGGATCTAGTAACATGAAGATTTCAGTTTCTGTGAAATTATCTCCCACAGTATAAAATGATATGCATAGAACCCATTTTACCATAGAAATGGCCAACATGTAAAAAAGAAATAATGCTAAATAAGAGCAGTGGCTGTTGTTTTAAGTGTGTTTTGCAAACAGGTCAGTTTGTTGTACACACCTGGTGTGGGTACTAGGGAGAAAGGTGACTGCAAGGCTGAGACAAGTCTTCTTGGTTACTCCCCCTCTGTTTCTACCTCCAGGAGAAAGTGTTTTTCATGAACTGTAAGACGATCACCCCATTCATAATTCAATCAACAGTGACTGGCAGTTCCGGCAGTCTACAGTAATATGCACTGACTATATTGACATGGCTGTGACAATGAGCATTCGCTTCTGGTTGGATGGTTGCTGGTGTTAGCTGCTTCTGCTGGATGTACTAGTCTTCAGTCATTTGTGCCCTATGCCACTGAACCCGCTGGGAAGGAATGGGGGAAGTTTTCTCCTCTCACTTTGGAAGAACTCAGTGAGAAGTTGTAACTGGCTCACATACAGAGAATAACAAGAAAGTAGACAGCATTGTTTAAACAACTGTTAAATTACGGAATATTACTACATATGAAATATAGAGAAAAGATATTCCTAAAAAAGAACAACAAATCTGTGAGTGGGCCTA